CTCCAGCTTCATCCTCCCAGACCGGGCCCAAGGGCTGTTTGGGGACTCTCAGGCCTGGCAGCGCCCTGGTTTTCAGCTCCTACTGGCGGGTCTTCAACCACATTCCTTGATGTGGCCCAGACCTGGTGGACCCCACAGTCCTTTTCTTGTCTGCAGCCCGGGGGTCCTGGCTGCCCGCTTGGTGCTCCCTGTCCTCCACTCATGACTTCCTCCAGCACCAAGGGTCTGGCCCTGAGCCGGGAGTCCCCTTAAAGCAGGCAGGCAAGGCCTTCCTGAGGGCGGGGTGGGGCCTGACAGCGTGGAACCTGCTGCTGGCAGTGCTCGTCCTGTACAGACCCGCAGACTGTGCACCGCCCAGGGGCTCTCAGCCCCACTCCCTGCCCGCTGCCCTGCAGGGCCCACAGAGCTACCTGGAGCCCACCGCGGGGGTCTCCCGCCTTGTGGGAGATGTTTCAGGGAACCAAGGTAACCAAGCAGGCCCTACAGTACTAGATGTGAATGGGCCACTGAGTCCAGGTGCATAAGACCTCCTGCAGGGCTCCCGCTACTCAGAAAAACCATCACACTCATGGTTAGGGTTTAGAGTTTACAGAGTGAAAGGACTTAGGTTAACATCAGCAAAGTAAAAGACACACAGGGCAGAGTGCAGGAGAGACCAGGAGGAAGGCTGCAGTGAGCACTCCAGGGGAGGCCTATGCATGCCCGTCATTCTCCCAGCATGGAAGTGTGACAACCAGGGACGCTGGCCTGAGCCTTGGCAGCAGGGTTTTACTGGAGGTTGGCGGTGCCTGGAGCAGCTGCATGACTGACGCTAGTTAGTCAGCTTCCAGCCCCTCCAGAGGTCCCCTGATACCACCTGGCTCAAGGCCCTGCCATCAGTCATGTTGTGAGCATCAGCTGTCTGGCGGGGCCCAGGGATCCAGGTATGCAGAGGCATTCTTATCAGGCAAGACATTCAAGATCTTAGAGGTTTGGATGTGTAGCATCTGAACACCCCAAGTCTATTGAGTTAACCGTCTGCTGTAAGGCTACCCCGTGGCTCTTATAGCAAAAGGATCATATTTTTCTGAGTTTCCATGACTAGGAATGCAAATAATAGCATGGCTGGGCTAGGCGCAGTGGCTCATGCCTGTAATCTCAGCACTTTGGG